AAGGCTGAAGCAGGAGAATGGGCTGTGAATCCGGGAGGCTCGAACTTGCAGCTGAGCCGAGATTGCGCCACTGCACTCCAGCGTGGGCGACAGAGCAAGACACTGTCGCGCGCAAAAAAAAAAACAAACAAAAACCAGTCTTATTGATTTTGTTTCATGAAAGATTACTCTCCCTCCCACCATAATGGGGAGACGGCACTTTCCTTGATGACCAAGAAAACATTCCTGTTTTTCTCCATGAGGCTAGAAGGCCCTCTTAGAAATTCAGCACAAACTTGCCTGGATATTGCTTCATATTGAGGTTAGCAACAGTAATTAATAAAACATGAAGTGAATTTTCCTGCCAGTCATTCAAATGAGAATGAGGCCAAGAAGAACTCAATCTTACTGAGTGAGAGCTGGGGGGAATTAATCACCAGGAAAACTCACACCACCCACAAGACAAAAAACAGGTCTCATCACTGAGCCGCCAGACAAGTCCTAGTAGACTCACTTACTGTCACCTTCCTAACTGTAAGGAGAGGAATGGCTCCCCAACAAAAGGCTGAGTCACCTGGAAGTGAATACCCACAGTGCTCGCCTCAGCCCCCATGCTGGAGAGCTTCAGGCTGTTTTACTGCAATTATTTCCACTTGCAATGAGGCAGCTCACTTTGGACACATAAATAGGACCTTGAGGACAAAAGAAGTTCTGCTTAGGACTCTTAACAGAGAACCTGAAAGATCAGAGCATAAAGTCTCTTCCTTTAACTTGCCCATCAAAGTAAAACATAGCCTAGGGACACTCACAGGGGTAGGAGTGGACACTGTGGTGTGGACTCCATCCTCCCCCAGGCCATCCCTCTCGGAAACTCAGTTCTCACTAGCTTTCTCCTGAAATCAGATTCAAGACTGTACAAACCCTATCACTTAAAGCATTGAGGAATTATTTATATGTTTTCGACCTTTTAAACTGTTAAATATTTTAATTTTTTATACTGTTACCTTTTTAATTTAATGCTAACATTTATTTTAAAACTGAAATAGGATCTGTTATTTTAGAGATTACAAGTTTAACTATTTGATCAGTCTCAAATAGAGACAACATGGTTTAACGTGGACTAGTTGTTGGGAAACCACCACAGACTGATACAGTTCTTCCTGCCACAGAGCTAAAGAAAATGGCCTCCTTTACCAGCACTTTCCATTTCCCAGCCTCTCCTAAAAGATGAGGTCACACCAGGCCATCTGAAACATTCACTCCCCTGCCCACCCACCCCGCAGAGGTTTACATTTCCCAGACTGTCCCGCGTTTTGCTTCATTTGAGGATAGTACAGTGAAGGCAAGAAGCTAGGAGAGCAATCTGAGGCCAAATACCTGTGCCTCATCAATGACCCTTGTGAATGGCTGCTTCTTTGTCCAGAAGTGAGAAGGAAGCAAAGGAGGATCTGCCCCTATCATCAGTGGAAGCACCTCTTCAGGGATTCTTGGCATTGCTGGCAGCAGGAAATGCTTCCTTATTAGCATTCCGAAACCACAAAGAGCAGACTGGGGTGGGGGCAAGCCTGGATAGGCAAGCATTATCTCACAGCCACTTCCACCTTTGCCCAGCGTCCTTGGCCAAAAGCCTACCGGTTCCTAACACCTACCTGTTACTTCACCCAGAACTAGGGTGAGGACACTGGACTAGGAATAAGACATGACCTTGGACAAGTCATCTTTCCACATCCTCACTTTTCCCAACTATAAAGGGACCTAGGAAGGCTGAGGAGGATAAAATCTTACCTACTTTATTGGGTAGAAGGAGCAACTCAAACCATTCATTCATTCACTCAGTTATATCTACGGATGCGTTTTGGACACACTATTTGTGGAATGCTACTGAACAGCAAAGTCCTACACAACCACGCGGATTTCTTGGTGTCCTGAGGCTTGTTAGGCACCCCTGGGGACTCCACCTACTGCTGGGGACGAGGCTGTGTGGCCTGCCGATCCGCTAGGATCCGTAGCCGCCTCTTGAGAGCCTTGGTTACAGCTGCTGTAAGGCAAAGGGCGTCCTCCTCCAGGAGCCCCAGACTGTACCAACCGTTTCTGGCGCTGGGGGAATCTGAAAAAGACCTGGCCGCCACAAATGGCTCCATTAGGGCAAACTGTCCACGACTTATTATTGTTTTTTCTTTATTTTTCTGAGACAGAGTTTCGGTCTCGTTCCCCAGGCTGGAGTGCAATGGCGCGATCTCGGCTCACGGCACTCCGCCTCCCAGGTTCAAGCGATTCTCCTGCCTCAGCCTCCCGAGTAGCTGGGATTACAAGCGTGCGCCACCACGCCCGGCTAATTTTGTATTTTCAGTAGAGACGGGGTTTCACCATGTTGGTCAGGCTGATCTCGAACTCCTGACCGCAAGTGATCCACCCGCCTCGGCCTCCCAACATGCTGGGATTACAGGCATGAGCCACCGCGCCCGGCCTGTCCCCGACTTATTAAACGTCGAGACTAGAACGGGAAAACTGCGAAGCGGTGTCGTGGGGAGCGCAAAGGGTTGCGGGGCGACCGCCCTGGGTCCTCCCCCGGCACAGTCCCTCACGCTCCACGGCGTGACCTTGAACAAGTCGACTCTACCTTCTGGATTCATCTTCTCAACTACACACGAAACTGCTAAAGAGATGCTGCCCAAGGTGCCGGCCCTCTCCGGCAGGGCGCAGACGCCAGCCAGGCGGCCTCCGAGGCCGGACACCCGGCCCTTCGCAGCTCCCACCCGGCCCCTCCGCACCTCGCAGCGCCTGCCCGCCGCGCTTCGCCTCCTCGTGGCCCGCTGGGCTCAGGTCGGCGTCGTACCAGCCGCTGAAGCGGTTCTCCAGGTTCCATGCGCTCTCGCCGTGCCGGATCAGCACCAGCTTGTAGGCGGCCATGGCGGCGGGCTGAGGATGCGGCACCGACTGCGGTTCGCGGATTCCGGAGTAGCAGCCCGCCCCCTCTGCCGCGCCTGCGCGCTCGCGCCGCACGGCCCGGCTCCCGCGCCACAGTCTCGCCCAAATCTTTCTGCTTGCTCTGGACCGCTCTCCGCCCGCCAGGTGTGCGCATGCGCCGCATCCTGGCTCCGCGGCCCCAGACGGGAGGGGGCGCTCTCTGGCACTCAGAGCGCATGCGTCCTGCCTCGCCAGCCCCACGTCGGCCGCGGCGGTCACGGAGCGCACGTAAGCACGCGGAGGACGGAGGGCGGCGGGCTCTAGGGGCGGTGCCACTCCGGTGGCTGCTGGGCTGCTCTCGAGCGGCTCGGCCAGATTAAGTGGCTCTTATCGCTGGAACCGCTCCCATCCCCACACAGAGATTGATTCACAGACCTGTGTTCGAGTCTTCACTCGTGCATACTACTTGCTTTGTATCTTCGGGCAGGTCGGGAAACCTCCCAGCCTCATCTGTAAAATGGGATCATAAATACTTACCGAGTACCTGGAAGTGTTCAGTAAATAGTAGTTTTTACTATTACTCTCTCATTTCGGCGGGACACTGATCTTTTTACTCCTAGTTTACACGTAAGGAAACTGCCCGTGACCCTGCTGATTCCAGAGCCTGCTCTTCTTCCAGCACGGGGTTCTTTATCCCGTCTCTGTCTACAATCTTTCACACACGTCAAGTCAGTGCTTTCTGGGCCTCCAACAAGGAAGCAAACGCTAGGACCCTTCAAATATTTCAGAAAGGGGCGAATTCTCGTCACTGCC